TTTTTTTAAAGGTTTCAGAGGGTTTTTTCCCGTTTTTATATTTTTTTTCCTCCGCTCCGACTCGGTTTGATTTTTCTCTGATCCGTGATTATTATTACTATTACTTTTTTCCCTCCTCGGCGGTTCCTGTCCGTGCTACATGACTTGCCAGCGCTTGAGACTGCGGTCCAACTGCGCTGCCGCTGCCGCCGCCACCGCCGCCGGTGGTGCCGCCGCCGCCGCCTCGGCCACCGCCACCGCTTCGGCCGCCGCCTCCGCCGCCGCCCCGCGCGCAGCTCCTTCAGCCGCCGCAACTTTCCCCCTCAGACTAGTGTGTGATGTTGGACATGGGAGATAGGAAGGAAGTGAAAATGCTGCCGAAATCCTCCTTTAGCATAAACAGCCTGGTGCCCGAAGCCGTCCAGAGCGACAACAACCACAGCAGCCACAGCCACCACAACAGCCACCACCCCCATCACCACCACCACCATCACCACCATCACCACCACCCGCCGCCACAGCAGCCCCAGCGAGCGGCCGCAGCCGAGGAGGAGGACGAGGAGAAGGGACAGCACCTCCTGCCGCCCCCCACTGCCACCGCCTCCGGCGCCCTGGAGGTGGCCAAGGCGGACATGCTGGCGGGCAAAGGCGAGGCGGGCGCGGCGGCGGCAGCGGAGCTGGAGGAGAAGGAGAAAGCGGCCGAGGAGAAGAAGGGGGCGGCGGAGGGGGCCAAAGACGGGGAGAGCGGGAAGGAGGGGGAGAAGAAGAACGGCAAGTACGAGAAGCCGCCGTTCAGCTACAACGCGCTCATCATGATGGCCATCCGGCAGAGCCCCGAGAAGCGCCTCACGCTCAACGGCATCTACGAGTTCATCATGAAGAACTTCCCCTACTACCGGGAGAACAAGCAGGGCTGGCAGAACTCCATTCGGCATAACCTCTCGCTCAATAAGTGCTTCGTCAAGGTGCCCCGCCACTACGACGACCCGGGCAAAGGGAACTACTGGATGCTGGACCCCTCCAGCGACGACGTCTTCATCGGGGGCACCACCGGCAAGCTCCGCCGGCGCTCCACCACCTCTCGGGCCAAGCTGGCCTTTAAGCGGGGCGCCAGGCTCACCTCCACCGGACTGACATTCATGGATAGGGCAGGATCTTTGTACTGGCCTATGTCCCCTTTCCTCTCCCTGCACCACCCTCGGGCCAGCAGCACTTTGAGTTACAATGGGACCACGTCCGCCTACCCCAGCCACCCCATGCCCTACAGCTCAGTGTTGACTCAAAACTCCTTGGGAAACAACCACTCCTTTTCCACGTCTAATGGGTTAAGTGTTGATAGACTAGTCAATGGAGAGATACCTTATGCCACTCATCACCTCACAGCAGCAGCTCTGGCCGCCTCAGTGCCGTGTGGCTTGTCAGTTCCCTGCTCCGGCACCTATTCCCTAAACCCTTGCTCTGTAAATCTCCTAGCAGGACAGACGAGTTACTTTTTTCCCCATGTTCCTCACCCTTCAATGACTTCTCAAAGCAGCACTTCAATGACGGCCAGGGCAGCCTCCTCCTCCACGTCGCCACAGGCGCCCTCCACTCTTCCCTGTGAGTCCTTAAGACCTTCTTTGCCAAGTTTTACAACGGGACTTTCCGGAGGACTTTCTGATTATTTCACACATCAAAATCAGGGGTCTTCTTCAAACCCTTTAATACATTAACATCCATGGGATCAGACTGTAAGTGAACATTTTACACACATTTGCATTGTAAATGATAATTAAAAGAAAAAAAAAGCAAAACAAAAAGGTCCAGGTATTTTTTATTAAGTCCCCCATTTTCTGTACGTTTGTTCAGTCTTTAGGGTTGTTTATTATTCCACCAAGGTGAGGAGTGTCAGCAAGGTGCAATGTGGGGAGATTGCATTGTAGACTATGAAGTTTGGAAGACAAAATTATAGTAGAATGTGTATCTAAATAGTGACTGCTTTTGCAATTTTTTATTCAAATATGATAAGTCTATCACTAAAAGCCACCCGATTCTCCATGTTTGCAGTATTATAAGTTATCATGGATATGTCGGTGGGTGCAGACCTTGAAAGTAAAAAAAACCAAACCAAACCACTAAATTCATGAAAACAATAACAAGAGCTTAAAACATAATTTGTATTTAAGCAGAATTAATACTGAATGATGCCCAAGATCTACTTTTGGCCATTTATTATTTTATTATTTTCTTTACCGAACTGTTTTTTTTTTTTTTT